GGAGCTGGAAGCTGAGAACTGGCGACTTTGTAGTACAACTTTAGTACGTGGAGTAACTGGGGAGCTGGAAGATGAGAACTGGCAACTTTCTAGTACAACTTTTGTAAGTACATGCGCCAAGCAGCATACATCCACCCACACACTGATACACACTGACGAACAAGCACATACACACAAACACACACCTCACGTACACACAGAGACCCTCACGCCTTATATCTGTCTCGCCTGTCTCTTCCCCATGCTCACTCTTCCGCACTTTACCCCTGCAGCCTCAATCTTTTGAAGTTGTTCACATGTGGGGCTATCCGGTCCTATAATTATTCTCCCTCAAACAACCATGGTGCCGCCCACGGGGTTCTGACACACCTCAGCACAGCACTTTCAAAAACCAAATCAGGGCACGTGAAGTCTTGAAGTCTTGCGAATGGACTGTGGGAGACATTGTTTGGCCATGGAAATATCTATGGGCTCATGAGAAGAGAGAAGGTGCCGACTCCGCTTCGTTAACACCATTGCGCCGTGGGCTTGCCAGGAGTTCTGGCAATGGCGCGGCAGCCGTTGCGGATGTCCTGGAACGCGGCAACTGCAGCAGCAGAGCGCCGGCTTGGCTAAAAGGGCTAGAGAACGCAGAGTGCGCGTACATATTCCAATTACGTTTCTTCTTAAATGTCGTGTACCCACCTGAAGAATTAGCCAACAAATGGAAGTATGCCGTTGGCCGTCAAGGACACACACACACATTGAAGCGCTGCAAAGAGAATCTGCAATGCTTGACATTGGCTTAAAGCTTACCACAAGAAAACCACCCATCACTCCCATCAAAAGGTAAACCATGTGATTTATCACATGGGGAAAATGATTGCGCTGTTAGAGGGCAGGGGCTTCCTGACGTTGGCCGGGGATAGCCCCAAAAGAGTTGGGGTTCATGTTTTAGACACATGTTTTGAACGACCTGGATACCGTAGTCCAAGTTGGCACGATCTTGTCAAGTAACTTTTTGTCACATATGATGCCAGAAGACCAAAACACTTGCAGGTATGCCCATTGGCCGGCCAGTGACATAGATCAACATCGCACTATTGAAGGGCTCCGACGATGTTCCGGTGGGGTTGTTAGATCTGCTTGTGAAGATCAGATCTAGCGTGTTGTTTTTCCCTTTTGGTCCTTGGAACCCGTTGTAGGGATCTATTCCAGGAGGTCTAAAAATATGACCTGTAGCGGTGGCTAATCCAACCCGGTGTGCCAAAGTTGACATGGCAAGCCTAGGGTCAGGACCCCTATCATAATGAGAGAGGCTTCTGGAGCCATAGACCGTACGGTGAAAAGATGTGAAGCTCGCTGATATGGTGTTGGTAAAAGGTTTATGGTGTTTACAATTTGAACTTGACCAGATGTTTGGTTGCATCCGAACCTTCTCCCACATGGTGTGATGATTGCACTATAGGGTTCCTATTCAAGGTCTTCGGATAATCACGAAAGGTAGCTTGAGCTACCTGAGTTCTCCTTGCTTTAGCAAAAATGTATTACAATCAGGAGTTGGGATTGTGCATTGAATTTGGTCCTGTAAGAGATGATTCTGTTCGTCGGGGGGGGGGCCGATCAAATCCCCCCTGCGCCGGTTCACGCCGTCATGGACTTCTACCAGGGTTACTTGTGATTGCTTGCTACCTTTCGTTCACCCCCCCCCTCTCTCAAGTGCAGCCACATGGTCATGGAACGTGGTCACATGGAGGATCCTCTACAGTTGGTATGGGCACAAGGTTCAGTATGTTAATGATACAACCAGCGCTTCAAAGCGGCACCCTTTTTTGCAGTGGAAAGCCACCAGCCAGATGAGGCGTCTAAGGAACATTTAGGAGGTCCTCATCAAGTCCTCTGAACCGGCGGGCATTGCGCTACTAAGTGTGTGTGTGTGGCCAATCAGCACAAACTCAAGACCAAAACCATGAACTCTATGAAAACTCATGTCAAGAGTTTCAGTCTCAGATCTTTGCTCGATTTGAGCTCAAAGATCAAGCAGACTCTCCCGATCTTGCTCATGGGGATTGTATGATCATCCTTCCTGTGCCTCTTTCAAGCTCAAGCACTATACCGCCGCAAAATACCTGGGGTCCGATCCGCAAGAATCGTGCAAAATCCATCACACCCACACATCGCCAAGTCGCAGCCCGCAACTTCCTTCTGGTTGGTATCCACCCAGTCGTGGTGCCTATTGGCCTGCCGTTTTTGGATCCCAAGAGACAACAAAAGAGGTGTGCAAGTGGCGTGTGAGTTCCAGAAATGCGACCTAACTGCCTTAGTGTATGGCTCAGTCCCTGATGCCTTGGGTATACCTGGAAATCCCTTTACAATAAATATCAATAAATCAAAAGCGGTGAACTTGTCCAAATCGGCCGCCATGCGCCGTCGACGTTGGGCGTTGACATTCCCATTGCTGCCCTTGGGTGCTTGCTGGCTGGGCACCAGGCGCCCCTCTAGCTGTGCAGGGGGGTTAGGTTACGTTGTAATGGGGGATCGTGACACCAAAAAGTGAATCTACGTACCGTCTGTAAAGATATTGAGTATACCTCAATGTGTGAGGGTGAACAAGTGAATCCAATTAAGTTACCACTTAGAATGTGTTTCTGTTTGTTGCAAGGCCAGTCTAGCTCCAGCTTAGAAATGATTTGGACAGTCATTTTCACTGAAGCAAATTCTTTGCAAACTCTTGGCATTGCAGTTCATACCAAGCTTGCGCATATCTCCCACCAAACGACAAGGACAGGGACAAAACCCTATGCGAAACACAAGCATGACGGATTCAAAGTGCGCCCAACAAACAATGGGGAGCGAGTAAGACTTCAATCCAAGGTTCCGGAAACATCCTAGCATTTTATCCCATCCTTTTGTTCGCACATTTGGGAAGTCCTCGAGTGCCTCGAGGACCTCTCGCCAGATTAGAAGTCCTTGGTCCTTGGTGTTACGTCATAAAGGCAAGTTGGATTAGCGTGAAAGAATGATTTAAATCTTCCTTTGCTAATGGAAGCAGAAAATAGAATGTAAGCCAGGACTGTGCGTCTGGTGCCACACAATAATGTTCTTACAACAGAAACGCTGCTGGGTTTCCTTTTTGGAAACATCCGCTCATGTCCTTTCTTCCAGGTGGCCAACTATTGCCACGGCGCGCGAGGCCCGCGAGGCACGCGGCCTGGGCGGTGCTCATGTGCGCCGGGCCGGGCCCAGGGCGAGCTCCGTGGACGCGAGTTCTCCTGTGGAGGCGAGTGACGTCGGCGAGGTGACCAGTCACCCCTGAGAAACGTAACAAGATCAGCCGCGCGCTTATCTCAAAGAGGCAAAGCGGCAAAAGTATAGGGGTCAACATTTCCTGCATAAAATGAGTGGCAATGGGGCCCGTATTAAAACGCAAGGTTTTTGGACCCCTGAAGTGACGTTCAGGCCCGTCACTTTGTAGTGATATCAAATTATATATGACGATGCAGGCCTCATTTTGTAGAGAAACCATGTTGACTGTTAAATGGATGGACGGCAATTTTGAAAAAAAAACACCTTTTCTCACAAAGCCACAGCCATCCAACCACTTACCACTTTGTAGAGAAGGAACGCGGTGTCGACAGGGTGTATGCATCTCTTTGCTTATTCCAGACCCGCGTGCCTTTCCTATTTGTTCTGTCTGATGGGCGTCCCTTCAAGACCATTATTTGGGGCTCTTATTGTTCTACAAAATGATAGCTCTTGTTTGATCTTGTATCTTTCAGGATCCTTGTACCTACTCCTATCTAGTATGTTCTAGTCTCATCTGCCCTATTCTAGCCTACATGATCCAGAGATTCTCCAAAACGATGGTCCGTATTGTTGAAAGTGCCCTGGCTCTGCAAAATGACAGCTCTTTGTTGAGAGTGTCTTGGCTCTACAAAAATGACAGCTCTTTGCTTATTCCAGACCCGCTTGCCTGTCCTATTTGTTGAGACCACCAAGTCTCTACAAAAAGAATGTACGCTATATGCTTTTGCTGCTTCCCATTTGCATCCGTTACAAAATCTTGGTGCCCAAGGCAGTCTAAAACCACCATGAAATCGTGGGATCCATCGTGCTTTTCCAAACAAGCTGATGTGATCGTAGCCTTTTGGTCTCCATGAAATGCTGGGACTCATCGTCACACTTTGGCTGGTAGGGCTCCAGCGTCTCTAAATATGCTTGGCTACACCCCCTGCATTGTAGCTATGTTTCCAACTTCCAATGTTGAATAATACAGCTAAACATTAACCCGTGTTCCGATCAATTGTGACTACAACATTGTTGCCACAGGGTCACATGAAATCTCAACCGGGATGCAAAAGTGTTGTATGTTGGAAAGACTCCTATCGCTGGATCACAGACGAAAGTTTGTACTGCAGGTGGTGGTACATATGCACAACATTCAGTCCTCAGGAGCTCTTCTAACAGCTGGTGCACTTCCATGGTGATTTCCAAAGCCACGGAAACATTGTAATATTCATTGGATTCTGCGTTTTGTGTGTAGACCTTGGCGACACGCAACAACTCCGTGTTCAGATCGCGCACAGAAAGGACGGACATTCAAAATGCCTGCGGAGCAAGCCGATGATTGTGAGAGTCTTTGCACGGCATCCAGCCATGGAGGCACCTCCACACCAGATACACCCGCCACCACCCAGCCCCAACGAGCAGTAAACCCAAATGGAGGATGAGGCAGGGAGGGACACAACGGGGGATGGCCGAGCAACATGCTCCCAAGTTCGCACAGCATTGCAAGTAGGCCAAATGCAACCCGAGACGCTTCTAGTAACAAGTGCCTTACTAGTAGTAACAAGAAGCTACTACACAGTGGGTGGTCTAGGAAGTAAGGCCACAACTTCACGACGGTCAACCGCAGTGCAGCCGACATCATAAGGTTGGTCATTATTTTCCGGAAATGACTGCGCCGCAGTCCAGCCCAGCACGATAAGTGGGCTTATGGGATCACCCTGAGGCATTGCCGGTCCGTGCAGGGAGACGGGGTACTTGTGGGATTGATAGACTCTGATAGACCACCCACCGAGCCTACTGCTCCTGGTATTGGTTCTTGCAGACCGTCGGCCGCTGGTTCAACCAGACCTGGGAATTCTTCGATGTGACTTGTTCCCAATGGAAGAGAACCAAGGGCAGGGCAACGTGTGGTGAGTTTACAGGGTGGTATGAATTCGATATGAGGAGTTAAGTCTTGTTTGAGATTCACCGAAAGTGAGTTCTTGCTGTGAGAATGGTCCAGTTTGAGATGAGCATACTGATCATGTCCATTGGCAGTGGCACAGGTGTTCGTTGCTGTTGAGGTACATACAGTGTATATATATATATAACAACCAACTTGTGATTACAGAAACCTGCGCAGCCGGGACAAGCATCAAGTGCCAAGTCTACTCGGGTCGTTTGTTTCTCGTTGCTTTTGTTTCAAAGAACAATATCAAAGACACCACATGGAAGCATGAGAACTTTCTCCCACAACGTTCCTTGTCAAGGTAAATGATCGGTAAATGTATCCATCATCAAAAGCGCCCCTCGTCCCCGAGGCACTGGAGATTTGGAACGCGCCCAGTTTGCAGGAAGACAAGCGGCCGGAGGTGAGTTTCAGTTTCGGATGCGGTGATTGGGGGTAGGCTGAAAGACTTGAGAGGTGTACGTTGGTGTCCATCCCAAATATTGTCAAAGTAGCGTCGGTCTCCTCAAGTTTCTTCATCAAACCCTGCACCGCCAGCTTCAGCAACCAGCATGGATTAGGTGCTAGAGACATCCTTTGATGTTGATCCCTTTAAAAGCATATTTGCAAAGCCATGTTGGTGGCCAAACAGATCGTTTTGCCATAGTCTTTGGCATGCGGATCTCTTTTGAAGCAATGGCCCTTCTGAAAGCGTATGTCGTATGTGGTGTGGGTCCGTCTTCGAGCAAACCGAACAAGGCAATGCCACAGCTTTTCACTCACCCCACCCACCTTGAACTCCCCAACACACGCCAATATACTGGATGCTAATCTAGATTTAAGAGATGGAGTCCAGCCAACAACTGAGGGTGGCCACAATATTTTTTGTGATTTGGAAGCAGGAGTAGGAGCAATCGAAAAGCACTCTCAGA